AATTAGAAGGAACATTTAGCAAAGGAACAGTAGGGATAGAGACAGGGACAGGTGTGAGTCCTTGACTCTTCCCTTCCCACACTCACCCCTTGCAGAGGTGCACGCAGCTGTGTGGTCCCACCTTCTTGCAGGTGTCTGGTGTTTTGCTGGAGTTCTGGGCACTGTCCTGAGCCTGTGGAGGACTTGCTTAGCTGCTGCCTCCTATGGTGTAGGCCTTAAGGAAGGATTTGGGGATAAGGAGTTAGTGGCTTTCTGGGCTACAGGTAATGTTAATGCTGTCAGCTGCCGTTGGAATGACATAGGAAATGTTCAGGTTCTTATATTTAATAGTGTTTTCCAACTGGGACTCACAGTTTTAAAACTAGGAATTCTCAGCATCTTCAGTTCCACATTTTTATTTTGATATAAATCACTATATTGGTTGGAGGTATGTGTTTCAGTTGATAGAGCACCAGCCAATGGACGAAAGCATCAGGTAACAAGTTTGGTCCTGGTCTTGGACCCAACAGACAAAAATCACTATTAGACAATCTGTCTGCTCACTTTGTAGCTGCTATGAAATTTCAGAACCTGTGTTTTTTGACTGAATAGCCTTCCTAAGTGTGTCTAGCTGAAGTTTTAAAGCTTGGGCTTGCTGACAGCTACTGTTTGATTTTTATGCCTCTCTACTAATGAATTATGAGAGCAAATTTCTTGAAGTTGAATTTTTAGTATACTTAAATTATATAACTTATTGTGATTACTAATGTACACTAATAGTATACATTAGTAACTCCTACACATATTTTGATCTGTGGTCCTAAATGCTACATTTTTTGCCCTGGTTTTATTTCTTATTTTATGTGGAAGTGATACATTGGATAAAGTATATGATTAATTCCAATACTATTTATAGCTCAATAAGAAAATGGAGATTATCCATATAGAAAGCAGATAAGTAGTTGATAACACTTCATACTTTCACTGAATGTCTAGAGTTAAGTCACTTGTGTTGTGGACCTGGTCATTTATTAATATCAAAATATATTTCTATCTATGTTGAGAAAGTAAAGTACTAGCTTACCATTTATTATTATAAATGTTGTTTTGAACTGGGACTTGAAAGTTATTCTGCAGACTGGGGTCTCCTTCTTAGTCCTTGAGAAGTGAGAGCCATCTTGGCTTTAAGCACAGCACTAGGCAGTGTCCCTATCCTATTTTCTTTGTCTTCAGGAGCATGTGCCCTCTGCTGTAGACAGTCAGCTTTCACTCCTTCCTCCCATAGTCCCAAAGCCACAGGCATCCAGCCAGAGAGTAGTACCTCCCCTCCCCCCCATGGTCACGTGATCATGTGCTTGTGCACTTGGTGTGTGTTTCTGTTGCCATCACAGTTCAGCTCCTGTGAATTAGTTACTGTTATAATTGTACTCCTTCATGGTGAGAGGTGAGGCAGTATGAGGGTGTGGGACTCAATGGTAAGGTTTCCCAGCACCTCTTTCCCCGTCCATGCTATTCTACAATCCCAGCTCCCAACTCTGCACAAGGTCCAGCCCTTGTTGGTAACTCAAGATGTTGCTCTTGACATCTGCGTTTCTCTATGGCACAGGTTTTCCTTACTACTGGGTTATTCTATTGGCACACAAACATTCAATTTCTCCTAAAAATTCCAAAACCACTATAGAAAAACAGAACACCAGACCATTTCCTCTGTAGCTATTGTCCTATTCCTTTATTTTCTTCAGTGCAAAGTTCCTTTCTAGTTGTGAATATTTATTTTCTCTTTTTCTCCCTCCTTTCTTCTCCTCTTCCTTCTCCCTCCTTGCCTCCCTCCCTTCTCCTTATCTCTCCCTTTTTCTCCCTCCCACTCTCCCCTCCTCTCTTCTCTCTCTGCAATACTAGAGATCAAATCCAGGTCCTTGGGCAAGCTGCACAAGTACTCTACCATTGAGATACATCTCCAGCCTTTATTTACTATTTGAAACCATATTCCTGTTGTTTTCTCTGGAGCCCATTCCAGTTAGTATTTTTCCTTGCCACTCTACAGAGATTGCTTTCATGAGTACTGTTAGCAATTTTCCTGTTGCAGCACACATTCTGGGGATGCAGAAATAAATAATAGAATATGAAGGAGGGACTATTTTTAAATCAGTTGTGGGGCTTGAACTAAGGGCCTGGGTGCTGTTCGTGGGCCTCTCTGTGCTCAAGGCTCTACCACTTGAGCCACAGCCCCACTTCCAGTTTTTGTTATTGTTTTGTTTCATTTTGTTTTCTGGTCATGGGGCTTGAACTCTGGGCCTGGGTGCTGTCCCTGAGTTCTTCAGCTCAAGGCAAGTGCTCTACCACTTGAGCCACAGTGCTACTTTCGGTTTTCTGGTCTCAGGGACTTTCCTGCCTGGGCTGGCTTCGAACTGTGATCCTCAGATCTTAGCCTCCTGTAGCTAGGATTACAGGCCTGAGCCACTGGCGCCCAGCAGAAGGGTGTCTTAACAACAAAAGCTCTGGAAAACATTCAGATACTCATAAATAAACTGTAGTCCTCTCAGAATAGATTATTTGGCATTTGTCAAAATGAGTAAGGTGTAATCTTTGAAAACATCGAAATGCAATAAAGGAATTAAATTGTATTGTCTTTTATGCAAGAAATAAAGGGAAAATTGAAGTATGTGTGTTCAGATTTGTCTTATTATTACAAAGAAATGATGGAAGGGTAAACCAGAACTATAGGGAGTCAGGGACAGAGATTAAACCCTTAAGTACCTTGCTCTAAAATTTTTAATTTACTGCCATGCATACTGTATATAATCTTAAGAACCCAACAATTAAATAGAAAAAAATCCTAGTGGAAACACAAGGATTTAACAATATCAGGATTGTGACATGGGCGTAAGAAGAATTATTTCAAATAACTTGAAACCTAGTATTTTGACTAAGTGTCCCTAAGAGGTATAGATCCTAACAACCAAAAAAAAAAAAAGGTATAACAAATCTTATAATTCATTCACTGTTGTAAATAACAGTCTTACTATTGGGAGATTGCATATGATAGTATGAAACAGGTAATTTGTTGATGGCATATATTTGTTAAAGTCATAAGCAAGCAAGATTTTTCAGGATGAGAGGAAATGTAAATGACTAAAAAACTGTTTAGGAAATATCAGTGTAAACTCAAGATTTAATTTTCTCTTCTGCCTTTGCTCATCAGAATATTGGAGAAGTGAAGACAGGTATATATCAACATGCTTAATTTCAGTTTTGTCTTTCACTTACCGTTATCTCCCACTGGAGGGAGCAATGGTGAACCCCAGGGCTCAGGGGCAGGAGCTGAGCCTGGGGCAGTTTCTGTCTTGACAGCAAGGAGGCTGCTAGAGTATATCTGGGTCAAGTCCAGGGACACTGGAACCACTTGCAAGGGACTCCTTCCTGCTGGCAAGGGTATGCAGTTTGAGGATCAAATGGAAGTGTGAAGCCAGTAAAAATCTTCAGAGGACTATTTAGCAGCAGATCCACCTAGAGACTGAAACAAATACTCTTGAGTATTTCAGCCATTGTTCTCCATGTGAACACTAGCAGATTAAGTCTTGAGTATACTATATGATGGAACATCCATGTACAGACCTCACAACAGAATCTTTGTACATGTATTTATTTTTCTTCTTTTTTTAATTCCTTGAACTCCGGCCTGGGTACTGTCCTTTGCTATTCAAGGCTGGCACTCCAGGACTTGAACCTCATCTCCACTTCTGGTTTTTTGGTTGCTACTCAAGGCTGGCACTCCAAGACTTGAGCCATATCTCCACTTCTGGTGTTTGGTTGTTAATTGGAAATAAGAGTCTCACAACTTTTCTGCCCAGCGTGACTTTGAGCCACAACCCTCCCATCTCACCTCCTAAGTGAGCTACCAGTGCTGGCTGGTTTTTCTTTAGTCTTGTGTTTTTTAAATGCTAGTATTTCTTTTTTTTAAATTTTTTTAAATTTTTATTTTTTGGGTCTGGTCGTGGGGCCTGAACTCTGGGCACTGTCCCTCAGCTCTTCAGCTCAAGGCTAGCACTCTACCACTTGAGCCATAGCGCTACTTCCGGCTTTTTTCTTTTTGCTTATGTGGTGCTGAGGAATCGAACCCAGGGCCTCATGCATGCAAGGCAAGTGCTCTACCACTGAACCACCTTCCCAGCTCAATCTTTTTTTTGGTCAGTTATGGGGCTTGAACTCAAGGCCTGAGTGCCTTGAGCCTCTTTGTGCTCAAGTCTAGCACTCTACCACTTGA